TGATTTGATGTGTTTTGTATTGTAACTGATAGTGACAGATTGTATGCAGCAATGTATTGTAAATAATTAAGGTCTGACGAAGGCATATGCCGAAAGCTCACCAATAAAAGTGAAGAGCAAAGATCTTCGAAAAGTACACAAAACGACAATAAATTATTATTCATGTGTTGAAGCGATTATGTGGCTAAATCTCACAAGGAAAGATCGCGAAAAGGAGATAGTTATGATGCAGGACTAGTGAAGTTTAGGCTAAACTCCTCCGTCGATTTTCCCCGTATTAGTTTATTCACCGATCTTCGAGCTTTACTCTATTTATTACCCTCTCGTTGGTTTACCTTTGTCAGTTTGTTATTTCATCAAAACTAGGCGATTCTGGTATGTATTCGTGTCATGGCCTCTCACCTTTGGACGAATCATCGTCAGTACAAGAGGACAATCACCCAAAGGTGTACTATTCACTATTCGTTCATTCACCGACTGATGTACGTCTAGATATGAATCAAAATGTTCGTGATAAGAGCTGGCAGGTGCGTTTTTTTCTGATAACATTGTTTTTTGATATTTCTCTATTTTCCAATTTTCGTTTTCCAAAAGCTGCACAGCATATGGCAACTACTCATTTTCTAGCTTTTCACGTTTCTTTCATGAGAACTTCACAAGTTGCAGAAGGGACCTTTTTTCTTGACAGCTTCTGATAATAGCTTTTTCAACTTTTTCCCATCTGTTCTGGAGTTCTCACATCTCTCTTGAGCCCTCATACTATTGGGAGCGATATTTATACAAGATAAAAAAGCCTTTCAGATTTTTCTTACTTGGATGAGCCTGTTAAAAAAAGTATAACCTAAAGAACACTGTCGATTGAAAACGGCTAACCATTAAGATATGGCGCAATGAGGGCCTTAAAACCGGCTTGGCCATCGTACGCACCCAACTTAAGCGTGGTGAAAGCTGTAGAGGTTGCGTTATTCGCACCGGGACCCACATCTTGCACGCAGGCAGCTTACATCAGCCAGCGGTAGATAGCTGCAATGGCGCGCAACTCCTGTCGTCGTTTTCTCGTCCAACGCCTGATTTCATTGCTTCTTCAAAGCCTTATGATCCTTCAAATATGTCGATTATTGCGTTTTCTTCGCCACTTTTGCACTACTGTGTACTACCGCTGTCACTACTACCACTAATCACCAGATGTCTCAGAATTACCATGAACCGAGCCTTTGATAAGGATCGTTCGAAAAAAAGCAGACCCACTGCTTCTCGCTGTGCCTTTCTGAGCTCATTATTATCTGAAATTGTCCGCCAACAATTGTTTTCAGTTTACAAACAAAGTATTGAAAAAGTAGAATTTTCACTTTTCTCTTCCATGCTTTGGAAGCCTTGTCCGTTTTACATTTTTTTGTCTTGAATACTTCAGTATTATGACAAAAAGTATTAGTATTGCTTTTCATGATTTTTGAGACCGTGATACATGGGTGAAGACAACAAATTTTTCCAGATTTTATCGGAAATCAGTTCTTATACTCCTCCTCAGCATCTCACTCGCTTTCATTTCCTATCAACAAATACATACACCCGCCTCTAATCTTCTCATTATCCGCTTGAAGCAGAAAAGCGCTACGCTCCATAAACGCGAGACATAGACATGACGTATTTCCTAACAGATAGACGAACTTACGCTGGCCCATTTAGCGGATTATGGGAATCAGCATCAATGTTGGCTAATTTGCAGCTTTCTTGTTTGGCAAAAAATGTGCATTACGAAATTCCGATGGTTCACGTTGATGGTGCAGCTCTGATTGATGCGATCAGTCAGATGGGAACGGCTTCGTCAACAAATTTCTATAGTAATCCTATCAACGCCACTATTCGCATCAAAAGCAACTACAGTGGCAGCGTCCAGGTGAGCGACATTGATATGCTATTCTTTTTTGAATGGTTTTTTTGCGAAGTTAAACAATTTTCTGAACATCGGGTATGGGGGATAAGTTTCGTTGCTTATTTCACCTTACCAGGATGATCATTCCGCTGATCGCTTGAAGTATTAGAAATGGGATCAGGCTTCGAGGATTACTCTCACTTGGCCAGCGCATCCAGTGGAGTATGCAACGGCGACCGTAGTTCGAAGTGAGAGTTTACCGTAGTGGCGTAATGAGTGCGTATGTGGCCTGTACAATGACTTGCGGTGGTCAACCAATGCACAAGTCAGTGTTTTATCCTCCCAGACAAGCCTGGTACCAATTAACCGACCCCGGAAGGATGGAGGTCTTGGTTGGCCTAGGTGGATATCGATCCGAGGTTCGAACCCCTGACCGTGCGTTTGACATAGTGCGCCACTTGCCACTACACCACCTCTAATGTCGAACAGCGGACCATTTCGTTGATCGTCACAGGATTGGTCCATCCTGCTGAGGCTGGATTTTTACAATGACTGTGTTCTGTCTTCGGCTCAATCCGTTCACTCGAAACCGTTTCTAAGAAAATTCCAAATTCTGTTGCAGGTTGACAAACAGCAAGTCAAAAACACAGTCATTATAAATTGCACGATAGGTGTGATATTGCAATTATTCAGTGTATTTCACGTCCGGCTATGGATGAAGCTGAGATATATGGCCCAGGATTGGAACGAGGTCGATCGCACAACCTTTATGTTGTCAACAGTCCAAGCAGAGATCATCTCATCAAACAAGGTCCAGTCAATGTCACAGCCACCGTTGGAGATGACGTAGAGTTGACATGCCTTGTCATTCAACGTGTCAACTCGAAGTACTGGTTAAAAGGTGAATTTTTTGATTTTCTGTCTTACAGCTCCTTATATTGTTGATTGCTTGCTTTAGATGGGTCGTATGTCCCTTTTGGTGCCGTCAGAACGCAACGTGTTGGATCGAACAGTTTAAAAATACATAAAGTAGAGAAGAAGGATGAAGGATGGTATACATGTGTGGTTGTGGGTGAGGGATCTGAAAAAAGTGAGCAGCAAGCCTATCTACGAGTGAATTTTCATACCACGACTCCATCACTCGTGACCACAACGGAATCGCACTTGCCTAAAAATGTAGAGTTTTGTTCATTGGCCACAAATACTTAATGGCTATTAGTTACAGCTTTATACGAGTTTGTATCATGAAATTTTTTTAGAAAGATGACCGTGTAACTATGGAAGATGTTCGTGGTTTTGTAACCGGTCCACATGTTCGAATTCAGTGGTCAGTGATTGGAAAAATGGAAGCATTGTCGTCTATCGCTGGTTTCAAGTGGGTCTTATCCTTACCATATAGAAACCATTCCTCGCTATATAGACCAAAAATTTGTGGTATGTATGGGTACGCACTACGTACATATGTATGTACAAATGTGCATATGTATGTATATATGTATGTATGTATGTATGTATGTATGTATGTATGTATGTATGTGTATGTATGTAATGTATTTATGTGTGCCTGTCACGGAATTCGGTATCACCTTACAATTTAACAGTGATATTCGTGACAAGATTTCGAAAGGTGGTAGTGAAAGCAACTTCAAAGAGCACGTATGAGCTTAGCGAAGCTCCGCTTGCAGGAGACAAGATAATAGACGGCACGGTTGGTGCCAACGGCAAAATTATTAAGTACTGTTTTAGATTAGAAACAATTGAACACCATAAAAACGGGTGTAGAGGAGAAATGGATCAGCAAATTAGACCAAGATCAGAATGATAAACATATCTGTGGGCGGGTGACCTGAAAGCTTCCGGAATTTTTTTTTAAATAAATTCATAACTTGTTCTTTACAAAGCCTGAAAGTCACAAATGCCTCTAGGCAAGCCTAAACTGACCGTGCTCTAAAAAAACCTTCTAAGCTTCGTTACTCTATTTTAAAACGATCCAGAATCCGAAAGAAGGGGAGGTGCGCGGGCTAAGCTAGAGATTCCACAACTCTGTTTAAAGACCTTCTGAATCCGATAAAAAGGGTCGAATGGAATAATGGCGGTAAAATGAGAAAATGTATGGTCGCTAGCGGGACTCGAATCCTCTAGTGAAAACTAAGAAAACAAGGTTCCCCAACGGAAAAAAATTCGATATCACCGGATAGAAGTTTTGCACGGCACTCCAAATATATGGGTGCGACAATTCAGCAACTGGTAAGGTAAAAGTATTTCATCATTCACTTCACCCGCTGTTAATTACTTGCGCATGTAGATTTTCTTGCGAGATGCATTGTTACTGAAGTGAAAACCCCAGTGTCGTATGGATTCCAGGAAATCATTCAGTGCCACTTACAATCACTGGCAAGCGAAAGGCGGAAGGGTTTTATGAAATCCTTTGTGATTCCTATAATATCCGTACAGGAAGCGATAAAACGATACAGCGGGGAAGATTCAATCGAAGACAAACCATGAAGGGGAAGAAAGGCTAGTATTCCTGACTATAAACTGGTCTGTTTGTCGATCGTATTCCTGGGTGACTCGACTCAAAAAACGGCAAAGGAGCAGAACATATTGGAGATGTCGTTGG